TGAGGCCTCTATTCTGTTCAATGGTCTATTTATCTGTATCGTTGTAGTATGTTTTAATGTCTGGTTGGCTGTATTGGCTTGTTAGGGCTGCTGTAACAAAACACCAAAACCGAGTGGCTTAACAGGAATTCCGTCTTCCAGTTCTGGAGGTCGGAAGTCTAAGGTTAAGGCGTCTGAGTTTGCTCTGAGTCTGTGCAGCAGAGTCGGTCCCGTCCTGCTTGCCTCATGTGGTGGCTGCTGGCAGCCTGTGGGAGACCCAGCTGTGGAAGCCTCGCCGCCCTCGCCGCCTTCGCCGCCTTCGCCTTCACACCTCATTCTCCCTGTGTGCTTCTCTGCGTCCAGGTTCCCTTTCTTTGTAAGGAAACCAGTCATATTGGATTAGGGGCCCACTCTACTCCAGTAGGACCTCATTGTCACTAATTATGTCTGCAATGACTCGTTTACCAAATAAGGTCACACTGTATGGTACTGGGGGTTAGGACTTACTTGCAGATTTGGGAGAGACTTAGCTCAACCCACAACAGGTCAAGCCGCGTTTTCTCTTTTAAGATTTGCTTATCTGTTTGTGAACCTTCATTCTTGATCCAAATTTTAGAATAAGGCTCTGAGTGGTGTGGCTTAGCTGGTTGGGCATTGTCCTGCAAACCAAAAAGTTGCCAGTTCAATTCCCTGTCAGGGCACATGCCTGGGTTGAGGGTTCAGTCCCTGATTGGGGCGCATACCAGAGACAACCAATCGATGTTTCTCTCACACATCAATGTTTCTCTCCCTCTCTTTCCCTCTCTCTAAAAATAAATAAATTTTAAAAATTAAAAAAGTCTATAAATTTCTTTTTTTTAATCTAGCTGAATTTTGTAAATTTATTTATTCAGATTCTCTCTTTTTGTGTCCTTTTTACTCTATAAGGGTCTTGCATTTTTTCTAGTGAAAGTATGGATTCTGTATAGTTGTTGCTACTGTGACTGGTACCATCTTTTTTTTTTATTTTATTTTATTTATTGATTTTTTAGAGAGAGAAACATCAGTTTGTTGTTCCACCTGTCTGTGCATCCATTGGTTGATTCCTGTGTGTGCTCTGACTGGGGTCAAACCCGCTACCTTGGTATATTGGGACGATGCTCTAATGCACTGAGCTACCCAGCCAAGGCTGGTGCCTTCTTTTGACTGCATCTCCACTTAGGTCTTGCTGGTGTGGAGAAGCAGCACTCTTGTGCTTGCAAGTTGACATTGTGTTTAAAAGCCTCACTTGCAACCTGAGAAACATCGATTAGTTGCCTCTCGCACGCCCGCAAACAGGGTCCTGGTCCTCAACCCAGGCATGTGCCCTGACCGGGAATTGAACCAGCAGCCTTTTGGTTCACAGGCCAGCACTCCATCCATTGAGCCATACCAGCCAGCGCTGATCCTGTTGGTTTTAGATGTAACTGATCATATCACAGGCAGACAAAGACAGTTAAATCTCTTCACCCTCAATTTTTGTACTCCTTACTTCTCTTTTGATTCTTATAGTATTGGCCAGGGCCTCCCAGACTACATTGGCCACATTAAACAGTAGTAGAAACAGTGAGCAAACTTGGCAGTCCTCATCTGAAAAGGACTGCATCCAAAGGTTCTCTGTTCGGCGTCATGCTTGCTAGATGCACGGTGTATACTGTTGACCAAGGTAAGGATGTTCCCTTCTATTTCTTGTTTTCCGACAGTTTCTATCATATAATAAATGTGTGTTGAACTTTATTAAATGCTTTTCTTTTTTAAAAAAATTTTTTCTGTTGTGATAACCATTTTTTAAAAATTTATGTTGAAATTGATATATAAATTTGACATTCCTGGAATGCTACTTGATTGTGATATATTTAAATATACTCTGAATCCAGTTAGCTAGTTATATATATATGCATGTGTTTACATGAGATGTACCTCTAATTTCCTTTTATTAACCTCATCCAAATCATGGTTGGACTGGCCCTATAAAATAAGCTTTCTTGCTTTCTTTCTTTCTCTGGAATAATTCTTATAAGATAACAAGTGTCTGTTCTTTAAAAGTTTTGAGAACCCACCAATGTGATAGGATTCATCTGGGTTGTCACTCTTGAGCAGATACACTTTGTTACCATTACTGGCCTATGCATGTTTTTCCTTTCTTCTCAGGCCCATTTCGGTGTATTTTAATTTTTTTATTCTTTGAAGATTTTATTTGTTTATTTTTAGAGAGAGGGTAAGGGAGGGAAAAAGAAAGGCAGAGAAACATTGATGTGCAAGAGAAACATCCACTGGCTGCCTCTTGCACGCCCTCAACCAGAGACCTGGCCCACGACCCGAGCATGTGCCCTGACTGGGAATCAAACTGGCGGCCTTTCAGCGTGCAGCCCGCTGAGCCAACCAGACGAGGCTTGGTGTTTATATTATTTTTTAAGATTTTATTTATTTATTTTTAGAGAGGGTAAGGGAGGGAGAAAGAAGGCGAAAGAAGCATCAATGTGTGGTTGCCCCTCGCGCGCCCCCCACTGGGAACCTGGCCCACAACCCAGGCCTGTGCCCTGACTGGGAATTGAACCAGCGACCCTTTGGTTCACAGGCTGGCACTCAGTCCACTGAGACACACCAAAATGTATCTTATTTTGTTCAGGTTTTCAAATGTTTTAGTTCATAGTTCATAATATTCTTTTTGAAAATTTTTAAATCTTTTATTCACCATTTTTAATTTGCATTTTTCTCAATATTTACTGTTTATTGCTTTTCCTTATTTCATTGATTTCTATACTCCCTTTATTTTTTTAAAGATTTATTTATTTATTTTTAGCCAGAGGGGAAAGGAGGGAGAGAGGTTGTGAAATGCATGCTTAACTCATCTGTTTTATTTATTTTTTATTTCCTAAATATTTTTACTTAAAGTTAAAAATATCATAGTGGCTACACTAATTTATATTCCCACCAACAGTGCAAGAGGATTCCCTTTTCTCCACAACCTCTGCAGCAGCTATTTCTTGTGTTATTGATAATAGCTATTCTAACAGGGGTGACGTGGTATCTCATTGTGGTTTTGATTTTCATTCCCCTTGTAACTAGTGGTAGTGAGCATCTTTTTACATATCTGTTGCCCACTTATGTGTATACTTTGGAAAAGTATCTATATAAGTCCTCTATATTTTAATCAGATCGGTTTTTGCTGTTGAGTTGTGTGAGTTCTTTATCTATCTTGGATATTAGCCCCTTATCAGAGGTATGATTTGCAAATACCTTCTCCCATTTGGTTGGTTGCTTCAAACAAACCAACAAAAACAAAGATAGATACAACAGAATTGTGGTTACCAGAGGGGAGGGAGAAGAGGATAGAGGGGTCAAATATATGGTTACAGAAGGAAATTATACTTTGGGTGGGGAGCATGCAATGAAGTGTTGTACTATAATTGTGTACACCTGAAAATTTTATAATGTTAACTAGTGTTACCCCTATAAATGTCATTTTAAAAATAAAAGAGTGTTGCTCTGGCTGGTGTGTTCAGTGGATTGAACACCGGCCTGTGAACCGGGAGGTCACTGGTTCGATCCCTGGTGAGGGCACATGCCTGGGTTGCAGGGCAGGTCCCTGGTTGGGGGCGTGCGAGAGACAACTGATTGATGTAGCTCTTGCACAGTTGTTTCTCTCCATCTCTTTCTCCTTCCCTTCCCCTCTCTCAAAATGGATACATAAAATCTTTTTTAAAATATTAATTTTTTTAAATTTATTGATTTGAGAGAGAGAGAGTGGAAGGGAAAGAGAGAGAAACATTGGTTTGTTGTTCCACTTCATTCATTCATTCATTCATTGGTTGCTTCTTCTATATATGCTGACCAGGGATCGAACCAGCAACCTTGGCGTATCAGGACGACACTCTTACCAAATGAACTACCCAGTGGCATGATATTTCAAGGAGCAGTTTCTTTCTTTTTCAGTGGTATATAAAATTAGGGTGCAGCTTATGCTCAGTGGCATCTTCAATGTAATAATATATTACATCGTGTTTTCACTGTTGTCTAGCCCTTGAGTATTTCATAATATCTGGGGGGTTTTCTTTTAGCTCAATCACTTTCTAATAATATGCTCTTTAGTTTCCTGATAGAAGGTGTTTTTAGCTATTTTTTTGTTAGTGTCTGATTTTACTACATTAAGGTGAGAGAATACAGTTTGTGTATTATTCCGTAAGGATTTATTAGGAATCCCATCTCCTCTCAGCCTGAGTCCTTTTAATTTAATAATGTCTCTTGTAGCCCTGACCGGCGTGGCTCAGTCGACCAGGCAGCATACTGCAAAGCAAAAGGTCACGGGTTTGGTTCCTGGTCAGAGCACAGGCCTGGGTTGCAGGCCCAGTCCCCGGTTGGGGCATATAAGAGGCACCCAATAGATAGATGTGTCTCTCACACATCAATGTTTCTCTCCCTCCCTTTCTCTCTCCCTTCCCCTCTCTCTAAAAATAAACAAATGAAATTTTTTCTCTAAAGTGTCTCTTACAGACACACAGGAACACAGTGCTCTTTGCCCCTCCCGATCGCTCAGCATCTGCCATGGTTAAAAGCCTGGGCTCAGAATATGCAGTCATGCATATGAACCCAGCTTTACCTGTCTGCACTCTCCCCTTCACCCAGGTGCTTTGTCTTTCTGAGCCTCAGAGAAGTGGGGCTAACAATACCTACCAGGAGACCCCAGGGATCAGATGAGCTCCCAGACCCCAGGGAACAGCTTCTGAATGTTGAATCAGATGCAACTCTGAAGGTCCTTTTCAAAAAGAAGTGTGGTCTGTTTGTGAGGAAACATAAGGTTTCATTGCCTCCCTCTTGGCCTTTTTTTCTGTTGGTAACACTGGAAGCCTTGACCCAACTTGCCTTCCAGGGCTCTGGAGAAGAGCAACTATGAATGAAATGCCCTTTGAAAGTGTTATGAAAGTATCAGGTACACAGTCAAACCGTGCTGGACTAAGGGTGAGGGAGAGGCAGAGTCTGACCTCCTGGCCTTGCTTTTGTAGGATACAGAGAGCAGTTTACAGCAGAAGAATGAAGCCATCACATCTTTTGAAGAAAAAATCACTCAAGTGATGTCCAGCATGAAACAGATGGAAGAAAGGTAATCACTTCCCCCAACAGATATTCCCTAGAAAGTGCTGGGCATCCTCTAAGCCTGGGGACGTACTCTCTCTCAGAAGTGCAGCTGGTTTGGGATGGCTGTTCTTCAGGTCCACGGTCTTGCCCAGCAAGGGGGCATGTATTCAGGGAGCCTTTTGGCTATTGAATCACATTGTCCTGTCGGGGAGTCAGGCCTTTCCAGGGAGCTCCTTGTCGCTGTCACATTTAAACACCAGATCAGTGGTGGATGAGAATAGAGTCTAAAAACAGACCCACACAAATATGGGCAACTGATTTTTCACAAAAGTGCAAAGGCAGTTCAACAGTGACAGGATAGTCTTTTCAATAAATGGTGTTGAAACAATCAGACATCCATAAGCAAAAAAAAAAATCTCAATCTGTACTTCACACTTTTATGTAAAAATTAACTCAGAATGGATCTAAATCTAAATTTAAATCTAAATTTAAAACTTAAAACTATAAAACTTTTAGAAGAATATATAGAAAGTCCTTGTGAGCTTGGGTTGGACAAAGAGACCTAGACATGACATAAAAGCATGGTCCATGAAAGAAAAACTTGATAAATTATACTTTATCAAAATTATAAAACTTTGGTCTGTGAAAGACACAGTTAAGAGAATAAAAAGACAAGTTATAGATTGGGAGAAAATTTGTAAATAACATACAAGGGGGGGCAAAGGTAGGTTCACACTTCATATGGAAAATAAAACAATCGTTAATTAATAAAAGCCAAGAATAAACTGTTTCATGTACTCACAACAATATACCTTTTAGCCCACCCTATATCTGACAAAAGACTTGTATCCAGTATATATTAAAAAACACTCAAAACTCAACAAACAATCCCATTTTAAAATGAAGAAAAGACTTGAACAGAACTTCACCAAAGAGCACATATAGGTGGCAAAGGAACATGTTAAATCACGCCGAGGTGCCTCTGCATACCTGTTAGAACAGCTAAATATATTACTGACAACACCCAGTGTTTCGTGAGGCTGTGGAATGGCTGGAACTCTTGCACATGACCAGTGGGAATGCAAAGTGATAAAGATTTCCACTTTGGAAAAACAGTTTCTTACAACGAAGTTGAACATACTCTTACCATATGACCCGAAAGTCCCACTCCTAGCTATTTGCCCAAGAGGAAGAAAAACTTACGTTCATTTAAAGCTTGTACACAAATGTATGGCAGCTGTGTTCATAATTACCAAAAACTAGAAGCAACCCAAATAAATGTCTTTCATCGGGGAATGGATAACCAAACTGGCACTCTTTACACTGAAATACTAGACAGTCATAAAAAGAAATGAACCATTGCTCTACAGCAACAGACTGATCTTGATGATGTTAGGCTGAGAGAAAGAACTCAGTGTCAGAAGGTTACATAAAGTATAATTCCATTTCTGTGACATTACCAAAAGGACAAAGATGTGGTGTCAGGAGCTCAGTGGTTGCCCGGGGTCAGGGGTGGGAAGGGGGATGTGGCTACAGGAGGCAGCGCTAGAGAATTTTCTGGGTTGGTGGAACCATCCTGTGTCCTGGTTGCCATGGTGGTTCCATGGTCTTGAAAAGTGCTTGTTGGACAGACACACAAGTCAGTTTTACTGTATATTAATTAAAAATGAAAGAAAAACCTCAAGCCAGAAAGAATATGAAAACTTCCTACCGCAAATCAGAGCTGTGACCCTAGCCTTACAAAGCTGCGGTTCCTTTGGCCTAGGTTGCAGCGGTCGGAGCAGGCGCGGCAGGATGCCGAGGGCCGGGGCCAGCGGCTGCAGCAGGACCTGGGCCGCAGGACTGAGGCGCTGCAGGAGCGGCTCTCCCAGCTGCTCGGCCAGTGGTGGGCGCCCTGCGGGCCGGGGCGGGGCCGGGGCCGGGGCCGGGAGCTCCCGCTGGGGTGGACAGTATCCCACGTGAGGGTTCACCCCTGCACGGCTGCCATCGGGAGGGGAGCAGGTGTGCCGAGGAAAAGTACGAAGGCCAGTGAGAAAACGCCTCCCCGAGGCCGCGCAGAGGAGGCACAGTCGTGACCCTCAGCAGCGTCCACCCGGCTCCCAATCCCGCAGTAACCTCCCTTAGCATCTGGCTGGGTCGGAAGAGGTGGAACCCGCGCCCCACTCTTTCCCTTCCACTCTTTCCCTTCCGGTCTCCATCTCGGTCGTGGGTCCTGCTGGGCGCTTCTCCCTTTCCCTGCATCCGTGGACTTTTGAGGGGGCCCGCCTGCTTTCTCCCGCATGTTCCTGGCGCGTCTCATGGAGGTGCAGGCGGCCCGGGGGGAGACGGAGCCTTGTCTCCGCGCTTGGTTGAGGAGTCTAGGAGCTCATGAGACAATTCCATTTCCTATGGGGTTGTCTTGGGTTGGATTGTGGATTTTCCATGATAATGTCCCACTGAGACCAACACATTCATTTTGGAAAAACAGCTCAAGTCTAGAGAAAGAGTTGAAATCAGAAAAAGAGCAAAGACAAGCTCTTCAGCGAGAATTACAGTGTGAGAAAGACACGTCCTCCCTCCTCCGAGCAGAGCTGCAACAAGTGGAAGGATTGAAAAAGGTAAGATGGACCGTCCTCGGGAGGAAAAGATCTTTTAGCACCTCCAGAAACTCCTGCTGAAGCGCCTGCCAGCCTGCCCGACCTCACCGCTGCAGAGCCAGGCCCCTCCTGACAGTGGTTCCTGGTCTGGGAGGCTCTGCTCGGGGAGGAGGAGACAAGGCAAGCTGAAAGCCAGGGAGCAAACCAGAGACTCCCCAGTGAGTGCTGTGAAGAGAACAAAACAGGAAACAGTCCCCACAGTGGGGCAGGGTGGTCTGGGGAAAGAGTCACAGCTACCCAGAGGCTTGAAAGTCAAGAAAAGGAGAGCCAGGGAGGGATTTGACAGAGACACCAAGAGGAGTGAGGGTGTGTCAGCGAAGAAGCAGAAAGAAGGTAGTGTGGCTGAGGCATGAGCAGAGAGGAAGCCCTGGAGCTGAGGCCTCGGGGGACAGCTGGCTGGGGGCCCCCAAGGCTGTGTACATGAATTTGGATTTTATTCTGAGCACAAGAAGGAGCTGTTGGGGGGCATAATCCATTTCATTCTAAGACCATCACCAACGACTGTGGAGAATGGGTAGTAAGTTTCCAAGAGAGAAAACCAAGTGACCAGTAAAGGTCTTCAGCAAATGTCAGCCCACGCTGACATTCACCCCGGAGGTGGGTCCGCCACCCTGCGCAGGGCCAGGCACCCTGGGCCCCCAGTCCCTCCCCAGCAGGTCGGCTGAACCAGGGCCCTAAATCTCCCTTAGACGAGCCCTGAGTCTGGTCTGTCCCTGGAGTCGCTGCCTTCCTCCCGAGGACTCGCCTCACCTGAGGGTGTGGCCTAGACCTTGGGTGAAGCTCCGGAGACGGGGAGCAGGGGCCGGCAGGCGCCGCCATCGGGCTGTGAGGTGGGGCCTCCCTGAAACCCGGGTGGTCTGCGCCCTTCCCCTGTTGTGAAGTCGCCGTGTGTCTCCCAGGCAGGCAGAGGGGCCTGGAAGTCCTGGTCGGAGCTGGCTGCCATCCGGGAGCCGGGCACATCTCTGCCCTCCATGGCGTCTCCCGATGAGGCGGGTGCCAGGCTTGGGGCTGCCGAGCCCTGGGCGGCCTTCCCACGCCTCACCTTCTCCCAGGGAGCCCCCTGGTGGGGCAGCTGCATGGCCATGGGCACTGCCGGGCTGTCGGAGCCGAAGGAGGCTCTTCTGATGTCTGTTAAAAGTGTCCAGACCCGCTTGGGACAGAGCCCATCAGGCCAGGCGTGGGGATCGCTAGGGAGGGGAGAGGTTCTTCAAGAGCCACTCAAAGAGGGAAAGAGAAACAACAGAGGGTAGAAGAGGACTCCCAGAAAGTTGTGCTGTATCAGGGAACATACCTCTTTTACTCCACTTCAAAATACTTTGCGGTAAGTTTTAAATTCCACACCCTCCCCCCACCCTTTTTGTACAAGGTTTGCGAAGAGCAAGAACAAGCGCCCCCCCACCCCTCCCCACACACACAATGCTGTGCCCGGCATCATCAGTGAGCCTCTGGACAGGCTCTGGGGCAGGTGGCTCAGGGCGGCTCGGGGAGAATGCCCACCGCTCACGCGTAAGCCCCACGACGGCCCATGGTCAGCCCTGGACCCTGCGTTACTTCTCTGGATTTTTGTTGGGTCATCATCAGCCTGTTGTCCAGGTGCACAGGCCCCAAGTTACACACGTCCTCAAGGCTGTCCACTCAGGCCTCACTCCCCACACACAGCTCCCACGTGGGCCTCCAGAGGCCTGGCTGCACTCCAGCCATGTTGGGATTCTAGATCTTGGCCTTTGTCAGCCTTATTTATTCTCAGGAAATTGGACCAACCCTTTGTATAAACAGGTTGTTGAAATGAGCATTTGCTACTGCAAGCTTCATATAATTTTGTACAAGGTTTATCTGTATATTTTTTGAGGTAGTTGTAAGTTTTTTTTTAATCTTCTAATGGAAACTTAGGTAGGCAAAGCCTTTTTTGCCCTGCGAGAGTGACTGTTTTGAATGTGCCTAATGAACGTCGCTGCCTCCTGTCCCATGTCACTGTCCCTGCTGCAGAGCTGGCTCCTCATCTTCCACTTGCCCATTCTGGAAAAGTAAGGTAGTGAGAAGTAACCCATGAGATCACCCTGCTTTGAATGAGGTTAACAAAACGAAAGTGCATTTTACTCTTGAAAATCATTCTAAGCTGCTCGTTGCCATGATTACTAAACCTTAGAAAGAAAGGTTTCCAGTTTTGTGTCAGGTGTCTGCTTTGTTCGTTTTAGGAGCTGCGAGAGCTCCAGGACGAGAAGGCTGAGCTACAGAAGGTTTGCGACGAGCAAGAACAAGCGCTCCAGGAGATGGGACTGCACCTCAGCCAGTAAGAGCCCGCCTCCCCTCCCTCCCCGTGGAAAGTCACACCAGCCTGCCCACCACATGACTCAAGCCCCAAACCCGTGTCCCGTTGTCAGAAGAGGGAGAGACGGTCAAGGAGGCCTCCAGAAGTCAGGCCTCAGGGGCGCAGAGCACTCGCATTTACTAACTCAGTATCCGGGTCCCCAGGAACCTAGGCGGTGCCGGTGCTGAGAGGGCTGCTCGCGCAGCCCACGGTCAGACCCCAGGGAGCCCGGGGTTGAGAACACCAGCGCGCCTGCCGCGCTGCCTTCGCCAGGGCGACCCCTCACACCCGCCAGAGCCCCCCTCTCTGCTCTGGGTGGTGCAGAAGGAGCGCAGGCCCTGGGAGTTCTGTCTCTCCTTTGACTTGACAGTTCTCCCTGGTGTCCTGTCCTGCGGGACAGTCTGATGGCTCACACTGCAAGTTCTGGAACTTGTCCACTTGTGTGACCATTGCATTTCCAAACACAGTAGACAACTTTGTCCCCTTACGAGTTAGGACTCTTAATTGCAAGTGACAGAAATCCAACTCAGACTGTGGCTTAAGCAAAACAGGCAGCGAGGGATCAGGCTCGGCCTCACGCCTCTGCTGCCCAGCGCTTACCGCCCCGGTGGGTCTGGCACCTGCTGGGGCGTCCGTGAAAAGATGGCGAGTCCCCCCTTCTCCAGCACTCCCACGGAGACCCCAGGTCGACTCACCGCTCCCACCTCAGTCCTCACACAAGCGCAGTTGCCGAAGAGATGGGGCCTCTTGTGACCAGCACAGCCCAGGCTCAGGCCCAGTGCTGAGTACAGTGTGACCAGAAAGCCCAGCAGTGGGGCCAGCATGGGAGTAAACTATAAATACAGCGAAGCAGGACACAGGTGCCCCCCTCCTGTGGGTGCCCTCAGCCTGGAAAGCTGGGAAGTCTCCATAAAGCAGTGCTCTAGGCTGGCCCACAGTGGTATTAAGAAAAATAAGGAGAAGTTATGGCTCTGGTGGGAATGTGACATGCAGATTCTGTCCCACTCGTTTTTCTAGACCAGCTCAGGGCAGCTGACCGGGTGATCACCCGGAGGCCGGCCTGCCGCCGCCCCACTGAGTGCCCCGCGCTGCTCTCTTCTGGCTGCTCCTGGCCCCGACCACCCTGCAGGGGCTCCTGGACAGCGGGCGAAGCCGGTGTCCGCCCCACATTTGGCGCACAGGCAGCTCAGAGGGTGTCCATGAGGCTTAACAAGCGCCAGGTGTGGCGGCTGCTTTACCGCTGGCTCCTTGGTGTTCAGAGAGCCGCGAGGGAGGGACACCTTGGGTGCAGCCTGCTGTCCCCGCACACCCCTCTCAGATGGCTAGCGCCCTCTTCTCTGCACCTGCCCTCTTCACGTTGGACTGACCGCAGGCAGGCAGAGGGCGCCCTCCTGTTACAGGGGCTTCAGGCCTCAGACCCGTGGCGGGGGCCCTGATCTGGAGGGAAGGCAAAGCCCTGCGCTCAGTAGCCTCACACGGCTCCTGCCTGGCCCGCAGCCCCGCCCCGCAGCAGGAGCAGGGCGTGTGCTGTCTCCTCCCTTCCTTCTTGCAAGCCCACACCAGTCCTCAGACCCTCCATCAGCTGCAGACATGGTTGCCCAGTTACTGCGGGGACATCTGGGTTCTTCCTAAGTTGTATTTCCTAGGGAAGCCATCGTGTGCTCAGGCTTCCATCTTGACCTGGATCTCCAGGTCTGTCCATTCTGGGCAACCTCTGGGCCTGTCAGTCTGCTGACCTATTTCTGCGCAGTTCAGGGGGTGAGTACCAGTCATCCTTCCTGAGGGCGACAGGGTTCTCTAAAGGCCCTGACACTCCATTTCCTGAGCCTGCTCCAGAAGTCTAGCCTGTGTGTCAGATCACTGACACTTTGACCTTTAGATCAGACTAATCCAATCACAGTTCAGACCAGCAAGTTTCAACCTTTTTCATCTTAGGGCACACATAAACTAATTACTAAAATTCTGTGGCACAACAAAAAATACTTTCTATTTTTTGCCAATCTGACAAAAAAAGTAGGTATAATTTTGATTCACACCAGACGGTTATTGTTGGCCATTGTTTTTTGGGGGTTTTTTTTACTTTTTTTTTTTTTTTTTTAAGATTTTATTTCTTTTTAGAGGGAGGGGAAGGGAAGGAGAAAGGGAGGGAAAGAAACATCAGTGTGTGGTTGCCTCTCATGCGCTCCCCACTGGGGACCTTGCCTGCACCCTAGGCACGTGCCCTGACTGGGAATCGAACCAGCGACGCTTTGGTTCTCAGGCTGGTGCTAAATCCACTGAGCTACAGCAGCCAGGGCTGTTACTTTGTTTTTGTTTTATTTATTTTCAGAGAGAGGAAGAGAGGGAGAAAGAGGAGAAGAGAAATATCCATGTGTGAGAGAAACATCCATCGGTTGCCTCTCTCACATGCTCCCATCTGGGGACCTGGCCTGCTATCCAGGCCTGTGCCCTGACTGGGAATCAAACCAGCGACTTTTCAGTTCACAGGCGGGCGCTCAATCCACTGAGCCACACCAGCCAGAACTGTTGTCATTTTCTTATTTGACAATCTAAGGGGAAAAGAGGCCAATGCCTCTGACTCAGTAGTCAGGTATTGCCTGTTTAAAAAACTTTTTTGATTTTCGTGGGCATGGGCTTGCTTTGGGGACTTTTGGGGGAAGAGAGGGAGGGGCTAGGACTGGTAGGTGTTGGCGGGGAGGGGCTTCTCGACCTGCTTTATCATTTAGCTGCGCTGCCTGGAGGTTCGTGTGAGCTATGAGCGAGAGCAGCTGCAGAAGTGAGAGGAGTGGAGGGGGAGGTAATGGAATGGACACTGTCCTTAGGGAAGGACGCCAGGACCAGGATACGGGGCCGGGGGTCACAGTGATGCCAGCTCCCCCAACCACCTGTCCCCCCACCAGCTCCGGGCCCAGGTGCCTGCCCTACCAGCTCCGTCCACTTCCTGTGGGGAGGAGGGGTTGAGGGTGTGGGGGATGGCGGCTCCCTCTGCCTCGGGTGCCTGGCCTAGAGCTGCCCGTTAGCCTGCCCTGAAGTCCCGAGTCCGGAGGTCAGGGCGCCGGCGGGGGTGCAGTCGTGCCCTTCCTCCCCTCCCGACACCCCACCCTCCCCCGCTCCTCAGCTCCTCAGCTCCTCACCTGAGGCTGCAGCTCTTGCTGGATCCTTGTGCATCTCGTCTTCGTTCCCGTTCCCTCCACCACACCCCACTCCCATCTGGCCATCCTGCCGACTGAGGCGGCCGCTGCTGTGCCCGGCGTGAGCCAGTGCAGCACAGCTGCCTCTGGCCACGGCCCAGGGCGGCCACAGCGGCCGCGTGGAAGACATCTCAGAGGCTGCACTCAGAACGCCGCCTGCTTGGCCAGCACAGGGCCCTGCTCGTGGGTCGCAGGAATAAGCTGCTGCTTAGACGGCTCCGTCCATGGGGCCCAGTCGTCCACACGTCCAGGTTAACAGCCCACCTGGAGAACCCCGGCACTGGGGCAAAACTCCTGAGTCTCCCCTTGTCGCTTCTTGAGGACACTGCCTGGTGTTTCTGTCAGCTGATGCCGGAGCAGATGAGTACGGCATCTTCATCAGGACAGGTTGTAGGTGGATGTTGTCCAGTAAGAGGAACCTGAAGTCTCCCACATGGGGACCTCAGGGTGGGGCTTGCCTCTCTCAGAGCTGCAGTTCTCAGACACACTGGGGACGCGGCCCCCGGGGTAGGCGTCCTCGGCGAATGCCTAGAGCAGTGCCGCCTTCCCGCTCTCCGCGCCTCACCACCATGGCCTTGCAGCGGCCTCTTTGCCCGTCCAGGGCCCCCGCTATGCGCTGGCTCCCCGCACAGCCCCCTTCCTTCAGGCCCCTGCCAGCGCTGGCATCTCACAGGCCTGTGCCCAACCCCTTAAAAACTCTTGCAGTGCACAAGTTGAAAATCGCTCGTTTACACTAATCTCAGCTTATAAGAAAGGCCTCAGACAATTCTCCCCAAATTACAGTGTTTTGTTTTTCCTAGTTTCACTTCAGACTATCTTCAGTACTGTCTTTTATGGAGACACCTAAGGGGTTGCTCTTAAACTAACAGGAATGGAACAAGAACAAATGAGTGGCCTGTGAGCCTGCAGGTGTGGGCTCCTGCCATGGAGGCGGGGAGGGCGCCCCGCCTGAAAGAGGTGCGCCCCCCACACGCCAAGCACCCGTGCGGGAACAGTTGCGCAGAGGTCAGAACCATGGGCTTCTGTGGGGTACTTGTCAATTTTTAAATGACTGCAATTATTATTTCAGACTCCTTCTCAACCCCTTGCAGGCTTAACGGTCTGTTTTGGGGCCAGATTCAGTCCCCAGTCTCGGCCTCAGACCTCAGCACAAGTGAGCCCCGGGTGAGGTGACCCCAGGATCGTGAGAAGGTGGGAAGCGTTTTAGAACAGCTCCTGCTGTTAGGCTCCTGAGTCGTCACCCTCGCAAAGCCAGGCCTGTGCGTGTGCTTGGTTCATCTTAGAGCCTCTCTCACTGCTGTGAATGATCTCTTTTTTTAAGGTCCAAGCTGAAGATGGAAGACATCAAAGAAGTAAATAAGGCACTGAAGGTACTGAAGTCTCACGCTGTTAGCATGAGAGCCACCCCGTGACTCTTAGCTCACAGATACCCGCATGCTCCTGGGTTTTCTCCCAATAGCCGGCAAGAAATGTGTGGTTGAGGCGGTCGCCGCTCACTTACAGGTCCGGTGCTGCTCACAGCCACGTCACCGCACTGGGGCGGCAGTGCTGATGAGCGGCAGGCCCTGGCTGGAGCTCTGAGGTCCGATGCCCCTCTGCCGCCCGCTGTCTGTGACAGTTGGCCTACACATCGCAGGGGCCCCAGGGAAGGAAGCAGAAGGTAGCAGAAAGGTCCAGGGATTCTTTTCTTTTAATCCTCGCCTGAGGGTATGTTTATTGATTTTTAGAGAAGGGGGTGGGGAGGAGAAAAAGAAAAACATCGACGTGAGATAGAAACATGGATCAGCTGCTTCCCATACGTACATTTCCTGACTGGGGATAGAAGCTACAACCTCAGCGTGTGCCCTGACTGGAAATCAAACCTGCAATCTTTGGTGTACGCGACGATGCTCCAACCAACCGAGCCACCCAGCCAGGGCCAGGGGTTTCGGTTTGTTTTCTGATGATGACAGATCTTTTCCTCAAAGGGAGGGGCCAGCGGCCGCCCTGCCTCCCTCCAGTGCCCCTGCTGTGTCTGGGGACCACTGAAACCCTGAGTGGGCCAAGTGTCTGCACCATTTGCGGGGAGGGCAGAATGACACCCCTTGGACAGGAATGTGTGCGCCAGGTGACCCTGTGCAGGTGCGAGGCTGGCCTGCTGGCACAGGGACGAGGCCATGAGAAAGGAGGGGCAGGCGCTCCGACTGCCTTCCCCCAGGGCAGTTGAGAGCGAAAGGGACAGCCCACGGCAGGCAGCGGGCAATGGCAGCGGCAGCAGGGCCCAGCAGCTTGCCCACGGGGCCCCGCCGTCCGCTGCGGCAGACACTTGGCAGCTGGGCCCTCAGCTCCAGGGCGTGCAGCTCAGAGGTGGCCAAGGGCCACAGCGCCTGGACTCGGAGCTGCCGTCCGCTGGCTTCAACCTCCCTTGGGCGGCGAGGGCGCCTTGCATGCCCCTGCTGTGGGCTGCCTGCCTGTGTGTCCCCTGCACCGCACACAGCTACCACCACCAGAAAGGGTAACCATGACAGCCTGGGACGTGAGGGCCTATTTCAAAGCCTCAGTTGCTTTCCTCTGCAGAGTGGAGGCACCCGTCTCCCCTCCGGTGCTCTGAGGACCAGGACGGGGGCTTTCCGACGCTGTGGCCGGTGGTTTTTGTCTGGCTAAGAGGGTTGGCCCTTGTCCCCCTGCCAGTCTGGAGGGCTTCGGCCAGGGTTGGGGTTGCAAGCACCAGACCCTGAGCCAGAGGGTGTCACCTGAAAGGAGAGTAACCGGAGGCTGGACAATCTGGCTTGAGGCCCAGGGGCGGTGAGCAAAGGCTGGGAGGCCAGAGCCAGCAGGCAGCCAGTCTGCAGCAGAGTTCTAGCTGCGAGCCAGTCCTCGAGGACCCCAGACCCTGGGCAGCAGGCAGACACAGCTACAGGTCCGTCGGGAGCCGCCATCCATGTGCTTTCCTCCTAGGGCCACGCTTGGCTGAAAGATGACGAAGCGACACGCTGCAAGCAGTGTGAGAAGGAGTTCTCCATCTCGCGGAGGAAGGTGTGTGGGCTGACCTCCCGCGCATGCTCGGGGGCGGGGTTGTGCCCCACGGGGACTCCCCTTCCTCTGGTTTTGCCCCCCCCCACCCCTGTTCAGACTGCCCCGTGCTAGGGGCACCCTGGCCAGCCAGTCACAGGACTTGTCCCCAGCAGTTCTTTCAGTGATTGGTAGGCTCCCTTGGGAGTTGGGCTGCTTGTATACAGAACTGGTTGCGAGTGTTTTGTAACCAACAGGACCAAAGCCTGGCCAAGTTAGTCAAAAACAGGATCTATGGGGAAAGACAGCAGCACGTCTCCAGGCAGGTATTCTGGTAGCACCAGGAGTTTGCAGGCCACCTGGGCAGGGCACTTGCTCCCAGGGACCTACCCCTGGTGAACCTGCTCCTCTGCCCGGGGCCTGCCTTCAGGTTCCAAGAAATTGGCCCAGGATTGGCAGGACAGCACAGGGTGCAGATCCCCTGCACAAACTGGGAGTCCTTACTGAGGGGGAAAGCCTGCCACATTGGTGCCGCCACCTTCCCTGCTGCCACGCGGGTCCACGTTCTAATCTGCCCCCTTTAAATCCTCTGTGGAAAAGCAAAACTCCCAAATCCTAGTCAGCGTGAGCAGCAGGCCGGGCCCTCCTGCACAGGTGCAGACTAGGCAGCTCTGCTTACAAAGCAAGACCCCGCCCCAGAGGCCTTGCATTAGCAGCAGGAACTGCACCCGAGTCAAACAACCTTGAAGACAATCTTGCTCGCATGAGTGCAGGCCCCACAGCTGACACTCTGCGGGTTTTACAGGACCAAACGTGTAAAACTAAAGGTCCAAGTCAGCCCATTTCTCTGGGAATAGTGAACTGAGAGGCTGGGAGTTTTCAGTGGGGGCGTGGCCCGCGTCCCACTGTCCTCTTGTCTGTCCCCCAGCACCACTGCAGGAACTGCGGCCACATCTTCTGCAACACCTGCTCCAGCAATGAGCTGGCCCTGCCCTCCTACCCCAAGCCGGTGCGCGTGTGTGACAGCTGCCACACCCTGCTCCTGCAGCGCTGCTCCTCCTCCACTGGCTCCTGAGGCCTCAGGACAGTGCCCACAAGGCCACAGGGCTTGCGAGGCCAGGTGGCTGGCTCTCTGGGGCACAGGACACCTATCCCCTTCCGAGCTGGCTGGGATGAACTCTGGGTCCAGACCTCCTTCTCATGTGGCTCCATCACTAGTTGAGGGTCAGATTAACTTCACGGTTTTGCTACTGTTTTTCACTTTTCCAAAATTTAACCTGTTCTGCAGTAGCCGTATTAGTTTAGTGAGCAATCAGTTCCTTTCTCTTCCACTGCCCCATGTGCCTTCCCTGCTTGAGTCAAGAAATGGGCCATTTCACACCCTTGTGAGTGTTCATCATTGGCCCTGCAATAAAATTGCTAATTTTTCACCCTTGTGCAGAAAACAAACTTGTGTCACCTTCAGAGTTGGCCTCTGGAGGACGCCTCAGAGCAACCCCCATTCCAGGACAAAAGGCGTTTTGGTGGCTATGTTTGGGGTGTGGGCACAGGAAGTGACCCTAATTAAGCCTCTCAGCAAAGCTCAAAGTTGTTCCCCTTGTATAGGAAGGTGCTGATGATCAACGATGAGATGGAGACACCCCCATATGAAAGCCGGCTCACCCCTCCCCCAGACAGCAGTAACGGCTCAAAGGTTCCAACAGACTGTCAGAACTAGTCCCTCTGTCCTGTCCTGGTCTGGGCGTCAGCCCTCTGGGTTCACCTGGATTCACCTTACTCCCGGCCCCCGCGGTGGACGCCCCTACGCGCTGCCTGTCTGCATCCCCACCAGCCCCTGCGGACCGCTCTTAGCGGGCCAGCCCCGCTGGACGCCCTTGGCTCCCTTCCCGGGACAGCTCTCCCTGCAGAAGGCTCATCCTCAGCCTGGCTCAGGTTCCACATCTGCTGCCCCCTTAAATACATCTTTGTTACAGGTGGGAAACGAGAGGTCTGTGAGGCTAGGTCCCAGGCCCTGTGCAGCAGAGCTCAAAGCTGTGTTTTTCTGCAAGCTGCAGGTTTTCACACCCTATCAGGGAGTCACCCTCTGGCTTTTTAACTATTCAGCGCCCAACTTTTCCTAAAACGCACATACTGCTGCACTGTCCTGAACTGGTCTGGCATTAAATACATGTACCTTGTCTTCAGCGCACCCAATCTGGACTCCAGCTTGCTGGGGACACCTCGGAGCCTCAGCTCTCATCCACACACCCACAAAAGGAAGCCCTTCGGCACTGCTCTGAAGGCTCCCCTGGGCTCGCCCGCCATTGTGCCACACCCTGCAGCCTCCCCTTCACCACACCTGTTTTCTCCCCCACCCCACTCCAAGCAGCAAAGGTTCAGCAAGCATTCTTCACAAGGAATCTTTGTGCCCAAGTCCAATATTTAGCTGCACAGAAGGCAACTTTTTACTCAGACATCAGCCTTCCCCAGACCTGGGCAATGATGGGCAGGTGCCCTAAGACAGTGCTGCTCAGACACGCGCACAGGCCGGCTACCTGGGGGCTGAAGTGGGGGCTTGAGCTAAAATGCAGACTGTGTCTGGAGGTTCTGGTCATTCCTAACAAACTCCAAGGATGCTAGTCCACAGAACCGAGGTTCCTAAGAACCAGAATGTTCTGGGTTAGCTCATTTATTAACTTTACTCCATGTTTCTGGTTCTAGTCCCTTTCCTTCCCTTCCTCCATGTATTTCAACCAAAATGTTCCTTATTTTGAAGTAAAACAAGTTAATGTTTTTGAAACTTCTCCGTGAAACTTTTGAACACGAGCCATCTCCAATCCAGACATTTAAAAGCTCAGCCAAGAACTCAGGCACAACGCTAAGGTTAGACTGTAGCCAAACACCAGTGCTCACTCTGAAAATTATTAATCTCTTAAACCTGCTGCCAAGCGACAAAATCCATTCCAAGTGCAGCACCTGTGTATCCAGAGCCCTGCCCTGGCAGTGTGGAGCAGCAGCGGGGTGCAGCGCAGCGGGGCCGCGGGCCTGCAGGCGCACTGCCCAGCCGCGCTGCCCCGCGACCAGACCCACCAACCTGGACAAAGTAGAAAGCCTTCAGCACAGTCACAAGATGGGAACACACCAGGCCTGTTTAAACCCACGTGCACCGCTTAAATTCTACTCTCAAACCCATTCAGCAATTTTCAACTGGTGTGACAATTTTTATAACATCCAATAGTTGACAAGGGCATTGACCTCTTTCCCCTTAGATTGTCAAATTAAAATGACAAGAGCCGTCTAATAGGAATACGATCTCTTGAACTGTAAATGTCAGTCATATTAACAATTGCATCGGATTGGTCAAACCTTGGTACTAGAAATCCTTATACACCAGCATAGGCAACCTTATTTTTGTCACTTTGAAGCAAAAATGGTTAATTACCGTTATTTTTGTGAATCAAATTACATCTTGTCAGATAAAATTTTTTCTGGTGTGCAGACTTAGTAATCAGCGTGTGCTGTGAAATGGAAAAGGTCAAAACAGCTGGCCTAGAGGGATGGTGAATGGTCATTTCCACACTGCAGTGAAATACGTATGTAGAGAGTCTGGAACTACACTTACGACTTCCTTAATGCTGTTATTTTCAAGCAAGTGTCAAATTTGAGACCTAATCCAGATTGCATCAATGATTTAAACTAAACTAGTCATTTTTACTTAATATGTAGTATTCTACCTCAGAGCTTTACAAGTAATTTTGCTCCAAGTGGTCTTGGATTTTTAGGAATGACGTAAAAATATAAAGATTAAAACATCTAGCTCCTAGAAAACACTTCATTTTAGAATGCAGAAAACGTCATTCAAGCCCTGGCTGGGTAGATCAGTTGGTTAAAGTGTCATCCCGAGGTTGTGGGTTTGATGACCAATCAGGGCACATGCAGGAAATCAACCAGTGAACACACTGATGTTTCCCTCCAACACCATAAGAAACTGAAAGACGCCACCCAACTGCGAAGGGCAGCTCCAGCCACCCCTTAGCCTGCAGCACTTCCTTCGCAGCCATGCTGGAAAGCCTCCACAGGACATGCAGCATGCAGTGAGGACGCTTCCACCTCTGCGTTGTGCAAGTGCTTAGCAAGTCAAGGGCAGTTCGTATCAGGGTCCGTGCAGCCCGGAACCCAAAGCTCCAATTACCTTCAGTTGTACTGGAGGGAGCCGGAAGACATCTACACAACAGCCTCTGCCACAGCCAGGGACATGGGCCACTGTCACCTACGCCCCAGGCAGGAACAGAGCACCAAGAAACAGTCCACATGACACTGAAGCACAGACAAGACAAAGTGCAGTTTTTAAAAGGAAGATTTATTTGACAAGTTTCACTTAGCGCAATACACCTAAAAGGAAATCACAATACAATGAAAGATTTAAATCAAGGCCTTGGAATTTCATACAAACACCAAGACCGAAATCCTAAAGTATTGGTATTGCGTCTCAAATTCTCCCGATTAACTTAGGGGGAAGAAAGAAAAGCTTAAACTTACGTGCCTTAGAAGTTATTAAATGAAAACTAGAATTAACAAACATGCCAAATATTTCACTTTTAATTGTAGAGACAGCTCCTATATTGAGTTTTACAAAAAAAAAAAAAAGCATGTTTTTCAACATGCTTCCAAACAGTGTCCAATGTAATGTGGTATAAGAGCAACATTTAACATAATTCAACTGCTTTAACCTAAATATACTTACTGCTTAAGTACATCCTACAATAGAACTAACTTGAGAAAAGCTAAAAATTGTTTAACAGTTATAGTTTACTCAACTTAGCTGTTACATCCTAGATATTTGTGTTCAAAAATACTGAACCTTAAGTCTTTAAAACAATCCTGATTTCCACTTAAAGCATATATCACAAGCTGGTATTGCAAAACTGTTAAACTTAAGTGTCGTGGTTTTTTGTTTTTTTTTGTTTTTCCATTAATGTGACCAAGAGTCAGCGACAAGGATCAATTACATTCCCCATCCACCACTCATACTGGACATGCTAGACATCCCTCCCATTCCGTTCACTCCCACAGATGCACGACTTCCACTACTGTAGTAGCTGCTGTTCACTGCTCCTTGGCTGCCTGCAAAGAGATCATTTTGACAAGTCAGGAGAAGTATCACATGATTAGTCAAGTAAAATATAGCATTCCAGGAAAAAGTTTAAAAAAGTATACGAGTACAAATGGCTGCTGTCCAAGTGGCGAGAAGCATGTTTGGGAAAGGGGACTCCCGACTCCAAACAAGTCTCAGTTAATCCCTTCTCTCTGCAGTACCAACTTGCCAGACTCTTGCTTGTGCTACCATTTAAAACGGATACTTCAGGATCAACATGGAAAATTAAGTTTAAAGGAAAACTAGTGTTTTTCAAAAATTGCAAAATTACTTCATGTTTTTAAAACTAAACAAGGCACTTTTAAAAAATTTACCATAAACATTCACAATGTGTCCATCAAATGGCGTGTGTATGAATAGGGAGCACAGGGGCAGTCTCTTGCTTTTCCTATTCATGGTGGGCAGGAAGTGAGACAACAACGTGGGACTAAAGGCAACTCACTGTGCCCAAAATGGCAGCCTCCATGGAGTTAAGTCAGAGCCATTGACTGCTATAGAAATAGTATTAGCACAACATTATCAGTATTTGCTATTGGGAATTTAAATTATATTTTTTGAGAAAATATTTACCTATGCAATGTTTGATTGAAAATCACTGGAGTTTTCCTGTAAAACTTGGTCTGCAAAAGGATTTTGTAGGGTAAGACTATAATACCAAAATCACCATTCTTTAGACCAATTGAAAAAAAATAAATAAAACCAATCCTAGGTTAACTGACTAGTAAATACAGTTTTAAACCCAACCACCATTTTACTATTTTAAATTCTCCCTCCATCTAAAATGGATTTAACGCTAACCAAAAGGCAGAAAAAAAAAATCAGCTTAATGTTTTCATAAGTGGAGGCAGATGTTTTCTAGATCGACATTATTCCAAGTTGCATATTTAATTTATAAAACACTTCCCCCTCCCAATGACTGGTTCTGAAAGTTAAACTATTAAAAAGTTATATAATAGGATCAAAAGCATACACTTAATAAACCAATTTCATCAAAAAAAGGGCCTACGCATTCCCCCAACTAAAGAAATCTACCTAAAACCTATTGTAAGTATATTAAGCACACACTTACCATATCCGCTCATGCTGCTCTGGCCACCATAGCCGCCTCCATAACCACCACTCAGCTGCTGGCTGGCTGGGCCACCGTAACTGGACTGGTTTGCTGTTAAGTTAAGAGACCATTAGAACCTTATCCACTATGTAATGTGGTACCTGGTGGTACCGGGCTTGTAATTCTAAATCTACAATTTTCAGTCTTGATCTTACACTATTACCCTCTGCTTATTTTCTATGAACAGACTACCTTTCTATTCAT